GCCACTCTGCCCATCATGTTACTATTCATCACAGGAACATACTGCTCACGTGCATGGCTGTGTGACTGCCAACTGTCCGAATAATGAAAGCAAAACTTTAACACCCCGGTCACATTGGGTGCGACTTGCAAATCGTATGCCAAGTCACACCCAACAGTCCACTATTAGAGCGGTCATATCGGTGCGGTTCTGCGATCAGCAGATCCCTGGTGCAATGGTCTCCAGCCTCCTGCAGCTAAAAATAATAAATTTAACTTTTTTTTTTTTACTACTGCAAAAAAATGTGCATTTTTATTTTTGGTAAAAAGGTGAACTTATTTTAATAAAGAATTAGTCCTTGCTAGAAGAGTGGTCAGATAATAGTGTAGGTGGGGGCAAGCTGTCAACCATACTAGTTCAGCAACCAAGGTACGGGTTAGAATGGGACCAAATGCACCATTCACTAGGTTCCCTGGGGGAGTATTTAAATGATAATGATGCTACTTCTTTATACCTCTAAAGCACCTCTTCAAGTAACATACCTTTATTGTACAGGAACAGCCCTAGTAATCTATAATAGTTTATAATGTTTTTTATTTGGGCTTTAAATGGTTATATAACTTGTGTGATTTGTTTAGCTGTAACATTCTTTCTCCTTGTTTTATGTTTTGTTTTTGTTAAAGCTCCTATAATTTTTTTTTTTTTCCAGATATGTAAAAAAAGCCAAGGAGGAAGCAACAAATGGCAGTGAGAGGGAGGACGGGGGATTTCGGAGTTCCAGAGATGGTAGTTTCTTTCCAGTTCGGGAGAACCCAGAGATTGCTGAGAAATACGAGAGGTAACCTCGGGCTACACATGTTCTCGTTTTCAGGCTACCCCAATTGCTGCAGGCATTGTTATAAGGGAGAAGACATTACACTTGCAGCTTTATTCAATACACTAACCCATAGCAAGTAATAAAATTCCATTCTGCTGAATTTAGGCTGTTACATTATGGATTCTAATTGGTTGCTGTGGGTTATCTGGATAAAAAGAATCTCCATCCATTCATGAAAAAGTGACAGGCTTTCTTTACCGAAGACACACTTGCTGCGCCTTCTCTGTGCTGTTCAAATTCATTCTGTCCCTAAACTATAACTTTCCAATCAAGCTGCCCCTGCAAAAAGGGCAATAAATATTTACGCCTTCTGCTTCCCTCTGATCACTTCTGTAATGAAGAATAAGTGCTGGCTGAAGGTCCTGCCGAATCCAACACTGGTGTGGGGACTTCCTGGTCCCCCGCTGCAAGCTGTGGTTCCTCTCATCAGCCCTATATGTCACTACAGGACATGGTGACACAAAAGCTGACTGGCTGAACCGCTGAGCACAATGTGGGACCTAGAAAGGTCTAATGCTGCAGAATCTTTATCCAGCGCAGGAGAGGTGAGTGTTCCATTCTTTGCAGGGGCAGCTTTTATAGGAATTTTGGTAACAGTTGAATAACAAGTCAGAGTAGAACGTATTGTGGTGGCAGACAAGGGTAGTGGACCATTAAATATGATCTAGTCAGTATCTAATTTCTGTCCTGCACCCTATTGGCTATGTTGGTAAACATTTGGAAAGGATTTCTCCTATTCTAAATTCCAAAAGGGATGCCCCGGTTTCTCTCACAATCCGGGGTGTGGTGTGGTCTACATGGCAATGTGGTAAACAGCAAAATGTTATATAGTGAGGGGAAATATGGACAGTAGTCATTGTTTATGCACAAATCCTCGAAGACCATCTTTTCCCATGTTAGTGAGCCAAGGATACTGGCGTGTATGGAAATGTCTAAGTTGGAGATAGTTGAGTCACCATCCCACATGGGCAGTCTTTGGAGCACAGGCTGAGGCAGACATCATGATGTCATCTGTCCACCTAAGTCAAACTGAGGAAGCTTTGTATTATTTCATTGTATACAATAGAGATGCACCGAAATTCCAGTGGTTGAAACGTTTTGGCCGAAAACACCCCTTTCGGCTGTCGGACGAAATGGAAAAAAAAAACACCGATACAGGTGCTGAAAAAACCGCGCCCCCTTGCCCCCGCTTTGTAGATCAGTCTTAACTGAGAAACCATCGAACCCGGTGCTGGGCATAGAGATGAGTGAAGGAAAGATGGCCGCCACACATCTCTATGCCATTGGTGGACGGTTCCGGCCATTTTTTTTTTTTTTTTTTTAGCACTACATCAATACTTTTTTTGATCTAATGCTTTACATTGCATAGGAGAGATGTGGGGTCTTATTGACCCCATATCTCCATAAAGAGGACCTGTCGCTAATTATTCCTCTCATAAGGGATGCATGCATTTCTTGTGATAAGAATAAAAGTTATTACAATTTTTTTTTTTTTTTAAAAGGAACAGTGCAAAAAAAAAAAAAAAATACTAAAAAAAAAAAATATTATTTAATGCTTTTTTTTTTTAAGTGCCCCCCCGTGCGCATGTAGTGGTGAATGCATACTCAGGCCATTTCCACATATGTAAATGGTGTTCAGACCACACACGTGAGGTATCGCCATGAACGTGGGAGGCAAGAGCAATAATTCTCACACTAGACCTCCTCTGTAACTTCACACTGCTAATCTGTAGAAAGTTTTAAAGCATCACCCATGGAGATTTTTAAGTACCGCAGTTTCATGCCATTCCAGAAGTGTGCGCAATTTTAAAGCGTGACATGTTGGGTATCCAGTTACTCGCCGTAACATCCTCTTACATATTTTACAAAAACAATTGGGGTATATGTTGTGTTTTTTTAAAAAATTTTTTTTTTTAAATATTCATTTTTAAAAACTGCTCCTTTTGGCCAAGTGTATTTTGAATTTTCATTTTTGGCACCAGAATTTACATTTTGGTGCACCACTAGTATACACATCTTCCCTGAATGGCTGGGTAGCGCTCACCCTGTGCTGTATAATGTATGTAGCTGAGGTTACATACAGTGTGGCCAGTGTACCTGTTAGTTCATTTGGACCAAACAAACAATTTACTTCACTAACAGGTGCTCTTGTGGAGTACGCTGCATTAACTGTATGTAGCCTTTCCTTAGCCTGGGAAGTTGCATGCCCAGATCTGCTGGTGCCATTGTGATCTAGTGCTGTTTGAGCAATGTGCAGGGTGTGTTTGGCTGTCACCCATGTGTGCTACTGAACAGATGTAGTTGGGAGGATGTGGGAGACCCTCTCAGATCTGGCCTTATTCTTCAAATACCAGATGAGCTACTTGCTTTCTGGGCGTTTCATCTATCTGGAGCACAGGCTACAGCACATCTGCAGGACCTCAGGCCTCCAGGTGGTGTGGCATTAGGAATTCCTTCCTTCCAGATAAATTTAGCCCAGTTACTGGTGACACACTCTGTGTTTGATCCTGCAGCTTCTTGGGTGATGTAAATCTTGTGTGAAGCTACAGTACTAGGGACATGCAGTTCTGGCCTAGGATGGAATGGCAGCGGGGGCAGGGTCAGACAAAAAAATAACATATTTATTTGGAACTGGTTAAACTGAACCTACTCTTTTGATCCAACTTTAAACCTCATACTATACTTAAGTATCATAGCTTTAGTGTGCAGGAGCAGACCTAATAATCTGGATCATATTTATAAACTTCTGTTTTTGACCACCTCCCATCCGGCCGTTGTATATAAATGGCTGGACGGTGGCAGTGCAGGGTCGGGTGGCCGCTTATAAACGGCCTCCCCACACCCTGCTTGTGCGCGCTCCCTGGGAACACCGATCGTCGGACGGGATCTCTGTACGAGGTCCCGATCATGTGATCACTGATTGACCAATCAGTGATCACATACAGAGTAGTAAGCAAGATGTCACTTGTGACATTTATTTATTTCAGGTACTCCTATAGCGCCGTCAATATACGCAGCGCTTTACATATATATTGTACAGTCACATCAGTCCCTAACCCTCAAGGGGCGTACAATCTAAAGTCCCTAACTTATGTTCATACATACATATACTAGGGACAATTTAGACAGAATCCAATTCACCTTCCAGCATGTTTTTTGGAGTGTGGGAGGAAACCCACGCAGGCACAGGGAGAACATGAAAAACTCCAGCAGGTGGTGACGTGGCTGGGATACGAACCGACGACCCTAGTACTGCCAGGCGGAAGTGCTAACCATTTAGCTACTGTGCTGCCCAGTGACATCATTGCTTACTACATGTGAAAGCTGTGAATGATCACAGGTCACATGGTACAAGGCAATTCACAACAGCCTTATACCATGTGACAAGCTGTGACCAATCACAGCTCACTCAGTAGTTCTCAATGGCTGCAAGAATGCAGCTAAAGAGAAGGAGAAATGATTGCTTGTACATCCTTTATGGGTGTAAAAGCAATCAGTGTAAAAAAAAAAAAAAAAAAATCTTCATCACCCCCCACAAGTATTACAGTGTCACCATGGTGACACTGTACTGCTAGGGTGACAGTATGAAAAAAAAAAATGTTTAAAAATTATAATTTTTGGTTATAAACTAATTTGAGTTTTTTTTTTTTTTTTTTTTTTTTCACTAGAAATATAACGGAATACATTTTGGCCAAGATTTATGATAAAATAGTACTTATTTGCAAAATTTTATAAGAAAAACACTTTTTTTTTTTTTTTTTCAAAATTTTTGGACTTCTTAATTTACATAGCAAAAAAAATTAAAATCCCAGTGGTGAATAAATACCACTAAAATAAAGTTTTATCTGTCTCAAAAAAATGCTAAAAAATTCATATGGGTACAGTGTTGCATGACCGCCCAATTGTCCTTCAAAGTGTGACAGCGCTGAAAGCTGAAAATTGGCCTGGACAGGAAAGGGGGTAAAAGTGTCCGGACTGGAAGTGGTTAATGTGTTATGGCTGTAACTGGATATGTAACTCGTGGAATTTGTTTAGTGTTGATATTTACTGATTTATCTTTTTTATATTGTTTTTGTAAAGGAGGTTTTTTGGCATTACTCTCATCCTTGTATGTGTTTTGTGGTTTTGTTTTTTCCCTATCTCCAGATACGTAAGAAAGGCGAAAGAGGAAGCAAAGAATGGTAACTTATTGAAGTCAATAGAATATTTCCGAAAGGCAGACAACTTACATCCCAGTGAAAAATTGAAAGGTCGAATAGCAAAGCTTGAAGAGGCTCAACAGCTGCAACTCCAAAGTGAGAAAGATGATGTGTTTGTAGATGTGCTGGGCAGTGGTTTTATGCTGTTTAAAGAACTATACAATAAACTCTTTGAACACCAGAAAGAAGGGGTAGCATTTTTATACGGTCTGTACAAAGATAAAAGAAAAGGAGGCATTTTGGCAGACGACATGGGCCTTGGAAAGACCATCCAGGTTATTGCTTTCCTCTCCGGGATGTTTGATGCCAGATTGGCCAGTTCCATACTTTTGATAATGCCAACAACCTTAATAAGCAACTGGGTAAAAGAGTTTGAAAAGTGGACCCCAGGCATGAGGGTAAATGAATTTCATGGTGTGAGTAAAAAGGAACGGAGCAGAAACCTTGAAAAGATTCAGAAAAAGGGTGGTGTTCTGATTACCACGTACCAAATGCTAATAAATAACTGGCAACAACTGTCTACCTACAATGAAAAAGAGTTTGTCTGGGATTACATTATTTTAGACGAGGCTCACAAAATTAAGACCTCTTCAACAAAGACTGCAAAGTCTTGTGCTGCATTGCCTGCCAAAAATCGTGTTCTCCTGACTGGTACACCAATCCAAAACCATTTGAGAGAAATGTGGGCTTTGTACGACTTTGCTTGTCAAGGGACATTGCTTGGAACGGCAAAGACTTTCAAAATGGAGTATGAAAATCCAATAACTAGGGCTAGGGAGAGAGATGCTACTGCAGGTGAAAAAGCGCTTGGACTAAAAATTTCTGAAAACCTCATGAACATTATCCAGCCGTACTTCCTGAGAAGAACAAAAAGTGATGTCCAGAACAAAAAAGCTTCAAACCAGCACTCAGTCTCTCAGTCAGATATTAAAGCTCCTGAGATGCCTTCTCTCACCCGAAAGAATGACTTCATCATATGGGTGTATCTATCGCCAATTCAGGAAGACGTGTATAGAAAGTTTATATCTTTGGACCAAATTAAGGAGTTGCTGATGACTACGAGATCACCTCTGGCGGAGCTGAATATTCTAAAAAAATTGTGTGACCACCCCAGACTTTTGTCGGCAAGAGCGTGTATTCAGCTTGGACTGGAAGGAGATATGTCAGAAGACGAGCCTGAGGCAGTTACTAAGTTTGATCATCTTTCTGATGAGGCTTTAATTGAAGAGTCTGGAAAACTTCTTCTTCTAATTGCGCTCCTTCATAAACTCCGAGAGGAAGGCCACAGGACGCTTGTTTTTTCCCAGTCAAGAAAAATGCTTGACATGGTCGATCGTATTTTGACAAACAAAGGATTTAAGATTATGCGCATTGATGGTACGGTTTCCCTTTTAGACCGGGAGAAGAGAATAAGTTTGTTTCAAAGCAACAGAAACTACTCTGTACTATTGTTGACCACCCAGGTTGGCGGTGTTGGATTAACTTTGACCGCAGCAGACCGTGTTGTGATTTTTGACCCAAGCTGGAATCCAGCTACTGACGCTCAAGCTGTCGATCGAGCGTATCGAATAGGACAGCAAGCCAACGTGGTCATTTACAGGCTCATAACATGTGGGACGGTGGAAGAGAAAATATACCGACGGCAAATCTTTAAAGATTCTTTAATCAGGCAAACGACCGGTGACAAAAAGAATCCTTTCCGCTATTTTTCAAAGCAAGATTTAAAGGAGCTGTTTACTTTAGAAGATACTCGTACGTCTACAACGCAGATCCAGCTGCAGAATATGCACTCCTCTCAAAGGAAAACGGACACCAATCTGGATGAACACATTGCTTACTTGCATACGTTGGCCATTTTCGGCATTTCTGACCATGACCTCATCTACGCACATGAGACGTCCGGCCAAGACGATGAATGTGAAAATGAGCGCGAAGCACATTACATTAATGAGCGGGTGCAGAAAGCTCGGGAACTTGTACTAATGGAATCTCAGATGAATGAGCAACTAATGGAGCAGATAAGAAAGGGAACCGAAGGAGCTTGGCTGCGGCAGATGGCTCCCCCAGAAAAACCCAAACCAAGGAGTCTACCCAGTTCAAAACCGGTCATTTCTCCTCCTGTCATTGTGGATCTAGAAGAACAAGAAATTGCTGATATCAGCTGTCACATGGACAGTATGGTAATTGAAGATTCTAGTGGAGATGCAGAAATCGTCCCCCTGCTCCATTTACAAGGGAATTGCCAGGTCAAGTAAATGATCAAGTGAGCAATCTAGTAAATGATGACTACAGTGAAGAAAACTTGCCAGCCCTTTCTTTAAAAAAGGAAGGGACAAATGGTGCAGACTGTCAAATGACCAGCGTCATTGTTTTAGATTCAGATGAAGAAGAAAATCTGCCTCCAGCTCCATTTAAATGTGAACCTCCAAGTGATATCAGCATTCAAAACAATGTAATAAACTGATGATTATAGAGAAGAAAAGGACAAAAATACCTCTTTTTTACATCAAAGTGATCTGCCTTCACAGGTAAGTGTTTTTTTTTTTTGTTTTTTGTTTTGGTTTTTTTTTTTTTTTGTGGTTTTTTGTTTTTTTGTGTTTTTTTGTTTTTTTTTTGGGGGGTTTTTTTGTGTGGTTTTTGTTTGTGGTTTTTTTTTTTTTTTTTTTTATTCTAGAAATACCATGCACTTTTTTTTGTGTATAAAAGCAGAGGGAAAAGTCCATATGTTTTCTAAAGAGTCAATATAAACAAATAGTGGATTTAAGCAGCCCGTAGATTGGTCGATTTTTGCGTTCCTTCCACCGTGGTTGGAAGGAGGAAAAATCACTGAATTCCTCCATCAATACAGTCAATGTTGATGGGGGGGGGAATGCCTCCCGGTACGCTATTGTGGTTTGCCAGCAAGGGTGCGAAGGGCACCTTCCCAGGTGACAGAACACAGTGAATACTGTTAGCAGCAATAGCTGCTGACAGTAATCGATTGTCAAAAAGTATGACAGGGTGGTTGTACCAAAGACTGCCCATACATAGATTGAATCTTGGCAAGTCCCTGTTGAACTGGCTGAATTTTGATCCATGTATGGACAGTTTTTCTCCTGTCTGCTCCTGTCTTTGACATTTCAAAAGGGAGATAGTTTTAGTATATAATTTATACAGGATATGGAAAAGATTAAAAAAAAAAAAAACCTCTTTAGTTTCAAATTATAAAAAGTGTGAGCAGGTTCCTGTATGGCTCTGACTGTATCCCACATTCTATATTTAAATGTACCCGTACTCCGTTCCTGCTGAAAGTGTTATTGAACCCACAACAGTAAAATCAGTCTATATGCAGTAAAGCATGCTGGGTTTTTTTTTTTTTTTTTTTTACTCACTTTGAAACCTAAGAGTTTAATCCTCCACATTGTGTAAAAAAAGCCATTTAATCCTGTCTTCTCTGATTCTCTGATCCTTCTTCTTTTACTGACCCCAATCTATCTGCCATAGTACAGAACAGCAGTGGCAAGTATGCACATGCTCTGTTTGGTGTGTATTGCTAGAGTTTTTTCTCCCCTTTTTTTTTTTGGGAGGGTGCATGTGATTATCTCTGTCCAGTCAGAGGGTCAGGAGTTATGCAGCTTTATAGGACATTCGGAGGAAATTGAAAACACTTCCTACAAGATTAACCAGTACTCGGCCAGGCACTGACAACTGCTATAAACAAAAGAAATGTGTAAAAATTACACAGCACATTCAGCAGGGCTCCTCTGTACTGTGTAACAACCATTAGTCCATGGATAAACACACTAAGTGGTTTATTTACTAAAGCTGGAGAGTGCAAACTTAGGTGCACTTCTGCACAGAAACCAATCAGCTTCCAGGTTTTATTGCCAAAGCTTAATTGAACACGCTGAGTTTAGAAGCTGATTGGCTGCCATGCACAGCTACACTAGATTCTGAGTGAACCAGTTTTAGTAAATCTACCTCTAAGTGTCTGTCGTAAAGCAGAAATTACTGCAATAGCAGATGAATGGTAGAGGAGTGGATGAAGGGATGGATGGATTATGGATGGAATGTGGTTCACCTCTGCTGGTCCCGTGAGATCTGGGCAGGATCACCTCATAAAGCAGGAAATGGCAAAAAGCAGGGCTCTGAGGTTAATACCAAACGAAAAGAACACCTTTATTAAATCAGCACACATTCATATCAGAATTCACCAATCTATCAGTGGATAAGGACACAGGGAGCTGTGAAGCCGGAGCAAGGGAGTTGCTGCAGGAGACCTTAATCTGTCAAAGGAGCTGTCAGATGTCCAGGATGCTGTAGCCAATCAGAAAGCGTTTGGGAGGTCCAACCACTCCTCCTTCATCAGCCTTCTGATTGGCTACAGCATCCTGGACATCTAACATCTCCTGTGACAGATTGAGTCTCCTGCGGCATCTTGCCTTGGCTTGCTTGAATTCCTGCTCTGGCTTCACAGCACTTTCTCCAGTGGTTCGAATGGGGACTGAATTTTGGACTGGGGGCTCCACAATGAGCTTATGTGCCTGTCACCAGTGTTGTCTGTGAGTGCAATACTGTCTCATTTCAAAGCGGAGCTCCACCGAAAAGGGGAAGTTCTGCTTTAAGGACTGCTCCCCATTAAGGATTGGCACCTTTGGGGAGCGGGTACCCGAATTTGACAGGTTTCCGGTCCGATGGCCTAGGCGATCGGAAACGGAAGGTGCCCTCCCTCCCTGTAGTCTTTTGGGACACCTGACAGGTCCCAGAAGACTACAGGACCATTCATGAAGCGCAGCGCTACTGCGCAAGCGCAGTGGGTACCCGGCTGTGAAGCCGCAAGCTAACAGCCAGGTGCCCACACTGAAGATGCCGGCCTCCTGCAATACAGGACGGCCGGTGAAATGGGCTGCGGGACACACACCGAGGGACAGGTAAGTGGCTGTTTTTGTAGATGCTGACTTTTTTATTTTTGGACAACATGAGTGGAACTCCGCTTTAACCCTTTTATTGAATAAACATTGCTACACTATTGGCTGCTTAGTGCCTCTTTCTCCCCCTCCCTCTCCTCTCTTGCAGTGTGGGAAACCGCATGTGATTCAGACAGGAATCTCACTGCATTTGAGTTCAAATCACATGCAATTCTTTGCAGTGCAATTTGAGCCCATTAATTCTGTATGTGTTCAAATCTCATTGCAAAAGGTATTCGGGCATTTGCACAAGTAGAAGTTCTCATGCAAATACTTGGTATCGGCTCAGCCCTAGAGTGTAGGTCCAAAATGTTGCATTTATCTGACTTTTATTATACACAGGATCTGAGAGGATGGTGTCCTGGTGACATATATGCTAAATATTGTGCCATACATTTGTCGCTTCAGCACTCTGCATGCAAGGTCTAGTGATTTTTGTGTGCAATGAGGACAAAAAATCGCATGGCTAACTGAACAGAATTTAACAGTTTGACACTATATAATTTGAATGCCACATAGAAAGTAATAGCAACAAAAGAAATAAAAAGTCTCTAAAATAAAATCTAAATACCAAAGAAATAAAAAAAAAAAAAAAAAATTAAATTCCAAAATAACTATGGGAGTCGTCCCATAGTTATTTTGGAATTTGAAAAAAAAAAAATTTTTTTTTTTGGAATTTATTTGATATTTATATTTTAATTTAGAGACTTTTTATTTCTGCCGGACATTATTGGACTTTTAATTTACCCATAGCGCCGCACCTTTTTGTTTTAACTAAACAGAATTAGAAATCATTGAAAGTAAATGTGTGCACGTATTTATTTCAGTAGTGTATTTAGCGGTTTGCCTAGAATTTTGTCTTAAAGTGATACTAAACCCACAACAGTTAAGCAGACTGTATATGCAGTAAAGCGTGCTAGTTGGGCTCCATGTACACGGGACGTTTGGAAAACACTTCTGAACGATGGAAACGAACTGATGGAAAACGTAGGTTAAAAAACATCTGTTTAGCTGCGTTTGCATACCGCGTTTATGCACGTTTGCATTTAGAAGCGTTTTTTTTAAAGATAACCTCAGGAGACCTTCCCAAAATGCCCAGAATGCAGGAAAAACAGTAAAAAATTAACTATTTCAGACATTTTGAGAGAGAAAGAGAGCAGAAGCAGAGAGAGCAGTGTGTGCTGAGATGATCTGTCTTTTCTGGTTGTGTTCACTACTATGGATCCCATCATGAGCATAATGCGGCGTGTTCTACTATTTTTTTTTTTTTTTCTTCATGCAAAACCTGGAACTGACTGCGATGGTGTACTGGGTCTATTTGAACACATAGAAAACACTTTGCATGCATTTCTGATGATGAAAAAAGGCTCTGGACAGCATCTGCATATGGAACAGTTAAAAAATGCTTCTAAACGCAAACGCTTATAAACGTGGTTAGCCGCGTTTACAAGCATTTGGTGTTTGAAACGCTGATAAAATCTACTCCTGAACGCAAGTTTGGAACGTTCAAAAAAAACAACTGTAAACTCAACTGCCTGTAAACGACAGTGTACATGGACACATAGGGAAACATTTGGGAGAGTTCAGGGGCTGCTAAAAAAAAAAAAACACAGAAAAGCTCCTAAACGTGAGTTATCAGCTGCAGTGTACATGAACCCTTATACTCACTGTGGAACCTGAGGGGTTAATCCTCCACATTGTGTAAAAAGGCTGTTTTGATTCTGTCTTCTAATTCTCCCCCTTCTACTGTCCCCAATTCATCTGCTGGTAGAACAGAACTCTAGGAGTCACTCTGCACATGCTCAGTTTAATGTATATGGCTAGAGAGGTTTTCTTTTCTTTGGTCCTGTGCTGATCACATGCACTCTCCCAGTCAGCACTGTCCAGACAGGGGGTCAGGTTATGCAATCTCATAGGACAACCTGAAGAGAATTTAAACTCCTCCTACAAGCTTTAGGCAGTGCTCAGATGGACACTGATAGAAGTCACAAGACTATGTACTGCTGATGAGAAAAGGTTTTTAGCAGTATATATTTACTAAAAGCAGCCAGATATAGTGTTTTGCGGGGTCCGGAAGACCAGATATAGCGAATGCGGGGTCCGGGGAGACCAGATATAGCGAATGCGGGGTCCGGGGAGACCAGATCTAGCGAATGCGGGGTCCGGGGAGACCAGATCTAGCGAATGCGGGGTCCGGGGAGACCAGATCTAGCGAATGCGGGGTCCGGCGAGACCAGATCTAGCGAATGCGGGGTCCGGCGAGACCAGATCTAGCGAATGCGGGGTCCGGCGAGACCAGATCTAGCGAA